ACTACAAATATAAAGTTGACAACACTGCTAATCTTTATATTTTATCTTGAGTAAACACTTTGATAAGAATTTTATTTTGCTCCATCCTGTTTCTTTCCCTGAAGTCTTTAAAGAGCCCATTCTTTTCCTGTTCAATATTGTCTGCAAGTTTTGTTGTCTGTGGAAGTGAACCTTGTGGAATTTAGATTTTACTCTTTGTATTCATTTTGGCTTCTTGGTTTAGTTGTAGGATACTTTGGGTTAAATTGTGTCAGCAAGTCGCTGAATTATGTGAGCAGCCTACTCTGTCTAGCATTGTCTTAATGTGACTTCCTCTACACATTGTGTCAGAACACGAGGCAGCACTAAAGGAAAGGCTCCATGCTTGCAGCTTGTATTTTGTGTCCCTGCTTCCCTCCACTTGAAGATCTAGAACGGCAGGCCACCTCTGAGCTGTCTTTTGACCATGAAAGCCGTTGTGAGCCTTGAGCTGTAGCCAGCAAGTACAGAAGGTCTGCTAACGCTTCGTTCAGTGGGAGGAAGGTAGTGAGGACTCTTATTGTGAAAGCAGACGGTGTTCTGCAGTTGGCTTTTGTTGGGTCTGAGCTGTCAGCAGACATATTTGCTGGGTGGGGGCTGGGCTGACCCACAAAGCAGCTTATACTGGCCCTTTGGAAAGGAATTAGTGTAGGATTTTTGCTTTTGGGGGTGATTAAAAGTCTTGCTTTACAAAATAAAGTTGAGGATAGCTATTTTTTATTTTTCTGTGTTGCTGTCGGCTGCAGCAGTATATTGATGAAGGCTAGGTAATTTGTGTACAGACTATGATATTTGAATATGTATGTAGTGTTCAGGCTTGAGGGGGGGTAAACCTATAAACTTGTGTCATGTTCTAGAATGCAGTTGATTGTGTTTTCATCCTCTATAGATAAATGGCCGGGTTTCTTCCTGTAACATGCATTCAGGCATCCATGTGTATCATATAGTTTTTAGATTTTTTTTAACTTCTATTTTTAAGTCACAGAAGTATAAGAAGACTCTGCCCATGTCAATATTAGGAGGGCAATAGACAATATAGGCAATTCTTAAGGTGTTCAGTAGTGACTAGTTAGGTTTGAGGAGGGTTTTCTTCCTTTTTTTTCTAGTGTGAGGACAGGTCCAATAAAACGTGAAAGAGAAAATTTGCTTCTTGAGTTAAATGTTTTCAAACGTGAAAGAGAAAATTTGCTTCTTGAGTTAAATGTTTTAGTTGGGTATGGGATGAGTTTATAACCAAAGGTATTAGCAGATTTGACCACTGAATCTCCTCAAATCTGAAATCAGGTTTAATAGTTTACAGCCATCTTTTTAGACAGGACACAGACCTAAAATATTAGAAAGTCGTGCAGTTTATTACAACATCTTAAAAATGAAGAAATATAGTCACTGAGATACATGGTAAGCTCATGATTGCATTTATCTCTTAATCTAAAACTGGATAAAATCTAAAATATTTGTCTATTAGAAAAGACAGCACTTCCTTAAAAATATGATGTACATTCACAAATAGTGAAAAGGTGAACTAACACCCTACACTCAACCCCCCATCACCCACTTCCCACTGCACTTACCTCTGTGGGTGATTAGCTGTCACTGTTCACACAGCCATAGCTGAAGTCCCAGAATTTAAAAGCTCCCCTCTTCCCTTGTTTTCCTTAGAGCTTCTAGCATGGGTGAGAGCGATTCCAATTGATCACAGTGGTCGCATGCCAGCACGTGACCAACCAGGTCTGTTTTCATATACCATTGGTCTGTTAACATACCCTTTTGGTTTTTTTTTCATTATGCCATTTTAAGTGATCTCCAACGCCTTCCGAAATTTATTGAGCTTATTTCATGTGCCCTGACTTGAAGTGATTGTAAAATCCAAAAACAGGGCGCATTCTCACCTGCTTGCACACTAAACAGGCTGTTTGTTTTTTTAGTTGTTATTATATTATTATTATACAGGATTTATATAGTGCCAACAGTTTGCTCATCACTTTACAATGTAATGGGCGACAATACAGCAACAATACAGTTCAATACAAGAGGGATAGGAGGGCCCTGCTCCTCAGAGCTTACAATCTAGGAGAGTTTGCTGTGTTGTGTCTGCTGTATGGCGGCGATGCCTGGTGTTAAAACGCAAGGCACTGTTTACTTTTTAAAACTTTATTGCAACAGCTGTTTTTAATGTGTCTGGATGTTGAGCTCAACTGATGTGATATGAACAATCCCTAATTCATGATACTAATAGTAAAAAAAAAAACAAACAAAAAAAACCTGGCATATTTTTTGTTATACAGCATGACTATGTAACAATAATCTATGACTTCATTTAGTTGGTTTGTAAATAAATATATATGTAGATTAGCAGTTGTAGGGAGCTCTTTCCACCCCTGGGGTATTTTAATCAGTCAATGGACTCCAAGCTTAGCAGTGTGTCAAACAGAGTGTTCATATCTAATGAGCACGTACGTATTTAAATTGTTTAGGGGTACTTTATTGTTACAGGAAAACTATGGAAAATGCATTTGCTGGCTTTCTCTTGAAAATGGTAGTTGTCCCATTTATGTGTGGCTTTAATACCTTATTCACTGACTTTGAACAATTATAGAGCCACTAAAACCGTAAGAAAAGTTAGTGATTTAGAACGTATTGATGCGAATGTGTGAATGTGTGAGTATGACAGCCAGGGATCCAGTATTGTTATAGGGGGTCAACAATGGCAGCCTTTATTAGTCCTTTTTACAGTTTCCTTTAGTGTAAATCATACCCTGCTGCATGGTTCTTTCAGGTCAGGGACTCAGACACTCTGAAAGAGATTGTAACCCCTTACATATACCCAATGAAGTGAATGGCCTCAGGTGATACACAGAGATGAAACAAATCCTTCTACATAAGTTGTACCTGTTTATCTGCTTGCGCTTTTTAAAGATAGGTATTTCATATTCTCATTGCACTGGCAGGAAAAATTTCAATGCCTAAGAATGCAATCAAAAAGGATTTTGTGTTGCTGTTCTGACTTACATTAGTAAACACAGCCATGATACTATATAGAAGCTACCTGAAAAACTAGACTTGTTGGCCCCTGAGAATTGATAATGAGAAAAATATGGGGTTGGTCATTGCAATCAATTAATCTTCATCTTGCTTTCACTGTAGGCTTGCTGCTTAACTGCATTATAAACATGAAACTGATTGTCATGGTCAGTGATAACAGTGCTTTTTTTCAGACAGTTTGATAAATATTTTGGTGACCATAACCTGCAGAGTAAAATTGATTGTGCATCTTTACTGTTGTTGACCTTGTATTGGGAAGTTAGAATTACATTTGTATACGTAAAAAAGAGCAGGTGGAAAACAAGTAAAATCTAACCTAGTTTTAAATGTATGAGCAAACTTCCAACACCTCTAATCCAGGCTAGTTTTTTTATTAATTTAGTTTTATTGTTTTTCTTTTGCAGCGTATAAACGCAGGTAAGACGGAGTCCAGGAAGGATTTGCTGAAAGATATTACCAACAATAAGGAAGACGGTAGGTGTCCAAATTCATCTCATTAGTTCTTATGGCCCATTGAAATCACAGAAATAGATATGCAGCTAGATAGGCATTGAACTAACAATCTCCATTTTCCTGTTATAGAAATTAGTGTTACTAAACCCAGGACCCTGCACTCAATTTATCTGGTCTGCCACAGTACACAGAACATGGACATGCAATTTAATTAAATATAAACTGCTAAATACCTTTTCTCATCAGCAGTATATAGCTGTCTTGTGACTTTTATCAGTGTCCGGCTGAGCACTGTTAAAGCTTCTGTAGGAGCCATTTGCATTCTCCCCTTATTGTCCAAAACCCCTGACCCTGTGTCTGGACAGTGCTGATTGTCCCTGTGCTGATCACATGCAGTCTCCCTAAAAGAAAAAAAAAAAACTCTTTAGCATTATACACAACTGAGCATATGCAGAGTGCCTCCCAGAGCTATGTACTATCATCAGGGACAGTAGAAGAAGGGGAGGATAAGAGAAAACAAAATCAAACAGCCTTTTTACACAATGCAGAGGATTAACCCCTTAGGTTCCACAGTGAGTATAACAAGCATGCATTACTGCATATACAGACTGATTTCACGAGTTTAGTGACACTTTAATCACCGTATCTGAAAGGGAATATGCAGTCCAAAAAATACCAAAGTTAGAGACCGTGCACTTCGGTAATCAGTGGTCAGTAACCGACTTGGTCAGATGTCCCTTCTCTTCCAACGCCATACATTTCTAAGTACACTTGTAGTAAGAGGTGTGGCTACCACTCAGCAATGCCAGTGTAGAGCTCTGCAAAAACAATGGCTTCCTAAACAAAAAATGAATTTGCATGTTTCCTTATTTTTGAATAAATAGTTGAAATTAGGTTTCTGAAGCTGTAAGGTTTGTATAAAAACAAGCCAGACAAAGATAGAAATCTAACCATATTTTTGTACTTTTGGTTTGGATGCAGTGGGAAAGATTTTGAACCTTTGTCAGGCATTGTACCCATTGAAAAGTTTCCCCTTATTTCCTCTGTAAGTGGCAGTGCTTGTCCAAGCAGGAGATTTCTTCAAGTGAAACATATACAACAATAAAAACATTTATTCTGAATACGAAGGAAGGGTTATAAGCTCTGATAAGTTTTTGCTGTCTGCATTCCTTTTGGGAAAAAGTCAGTGGTCATCGGGACAGGAAGTGAAGGGAAATCTCCCCACAAAATACTCAGAAGCTAAACCAGACAGCGGTTCAAATTCTATCACACGCTATCCACAAAAACAGTTTGGACTGGAGGGACACTACTAATAAAATGGATTGGGGCTGAGTGTCCAACAGGAGCTGCAGTTAGGCCACACACTCTAAAAGTGCCTTTGGCCAGTGCCAAAATTGCTAAGCATTGATCTAGAAATTATTAACTGCTTGCAGGCCAGTCTTCTTTAGTGTATGAGTAACATTGATTGTTTTCTAGTAACCGATGCCATGGCCGGAGATGAAAATTTGCCGGAGCGAGTCAGTGATACAAAAGCCTCTTGCGACAAGAGTGACTCAAAGGAGCACACACAGGACAACACCAATAATCCACATCCGGACTCAAATTACAAAACATGTTGGGTGGCGGAAAATGGGGTCTGTGAACGGGACACAGGAGACATCCGGCAACAGAACCCTTTGAAAGTGAATAACCCCATACAGACTTCAGTAGTAGGGAGCAACGGGTACATATTAAACAAATCTATTGGCCTTCAGCAGCCTTTACGGACTTCTGGTTCCCCGCTGAGCGGGCATGCCGCAAAGACTTTGCCCGGAGCAGCTAACAAAGCTAAGGCAGTCACCAGTGCACATGTACCCCCATCACTTTCTCCAACACCACCACAAGCGGGCGATCAGGTCAGGGATGACAGCCCAAGGTCAACAGACTCGCCTGCCCCAGACTTGAAAATACACCGAGCACGGAAAACCCTACCGAAGACTGGTTGCAGTTCGGTAAGACTGTATTAACTGTTTTAAATTAACAGCAACAACATAGAATGTTAGGCTATAGCTAAATAGGCAGTTGAACTACATATATGTGAAATATTTTGCATATCAAAGGATTTGTAATTTAGCTTAATTTGCAATTCATTTGTTCTGTCACGATACACAGCCTCATTGTGACATCACTATTACATGTTTCAGCTTTATGATTTTCTGAGTCTTTTATTAACTCATTGGAGAGTGTGATGATGCTGCATTGTCCAGTAAGCCAATTGGAGGTAAGAAGTGAAACGGGAAGCTGCTCAGCTAAATTAGAAAATAGTTGTCACAAGCCTGGCTGAACAAAGCTAAAAATCATTTGGAAGGTGAAATTGTTCTCGTATATTTACTTCAACTGTACATTTGGCTGGAGTGTCACTTAAATACCAAATGAGGTTTAAGTAAAAATGTGTTACACTGTGAAAGTTATGTTTCCAAAATTCACTATTTTATATGTGTATGAATGCTAGTGTTACTAAACTCTAGTTATTTGCCCCCTTGTATAGGCAGGGCACACCAACAACCACAAATGTGATTGCATATTCTGTAAAATAAGTTGTTCCTATTTTTTTTTTTTTTTTTTTTTAATCGTACTTCACGGGACACACAGAGCAGGCTATTCATGACTATCTGGGTTATTTGCCACCTATAGGTGAATGGGCACTGGCAGATCAATTAAACAGGAAGTCCTCCTCTATAAAACCCCTCCTACACAGGAAGTACTTCAGTTTTTTTCATCAGTGTCTGTATGGTGGCTGGTCACCGATGTGCTGCACTTGCTCTTGGAGGTCTGGTTCTGCTGAGAATCAAGGACTCCAATCGGATCCATTCAAAAAGCTGTTAGCCAAAATGGATGGTACCCGAGCCTTTTGAATAGGAGAGAAGAATCCTTTAAGTTTGCTTGTGATGCAGCCTTACGGCCACTGGACCCTATGTAATGGAACCCTGTGCAGTGTTTGTTCTAACCAAGGTGCTTCCAGCTGGATGTTATACAATTCCAAGGGGTTGGACCCCAAATGTAAGGGAGTCCTTGAAGGTCTTTTATGACAGAGCCCCCTGTGATGGGTGAAAGTTGGACTCCTGTTTTGATTCAGAGTCCAGCGGCGGGACTGAGAAGTTTACATTTGAAGTGTTTCTTTAAGAATCTGACTGTCTGGTCATTCTCCCGGTGGCCACTGTTGGCAGTGTGCTGTTCTATCTGTTCGGACCATGCGCTGTGTCTCTGAAGGAGTAGGACACGATTATACAGTGCATTCAGAAAGTATTCACAGTGCCTAACTTTTGCCACATTTTGTTTTGTTACAGCCTTATTCCTTAATGGATGAAATTCATTTTTTTCCTCAACATTCTATAAACAATACCCTATAATGACAACATGAAAGAAGTTCATTTTGAAATATTTGCAATTTATTAAAAATAAAAAACGGGAAAAAACCACATGTACATAAGTATTCACAGTCTTTGCCATGACACTCAATATTAAGCTCTGGTGCACCCTGTTCCCACTGATTATCCTTGAGATGTTTCCACAACTTTATTGGAGCCCACCTGTGGGAAATTCAGTTGATTGAACATGATTAGGCAAGGCATAAACCTGTCTATGTAAGGTCCAACAGTTAACAGTGCATGTCAGAGCACAAACCAAGCCATGAAGTCCAAGGAATTGTCTGTAGACGTCCGAGACAGGATTGTATCAAGGCACAGATCTGGGGAAGGGTACAGAAAAAGGGCCTAAGCCTGTGGAGAGAGTAGAACCTTCCAGAAGACCTACCAGCTCTGTGGCACTCCACCAATCAGGCCTGTATGGTAGAGTGGCCAGACGGATGCCACTCCTCAGTAAAAGGCAAATGGCAGCCTGCCTGGAGATTGCCAAAAGGCACCTGAGGGACTCTCAGACCATGAGAAACAAAACTCTCTGGTCTGATGAAACAAAGATTGAACTCTTTGGCCTGAATGCCAAGCATCATGTCTGGAGGAAACCAGGCACCGCTCACCACCTGGCCAATACCATCCCTACAGTGAAGCATGGTGGTGGCAGCATTATGCTATGGGGATGTTTTTCAGCGGCAGGAACTGGGAGACTAGTCAGTTAACTAGTCAGTCCCACAGTTAACAGTACATGTCAGAGCCAAGCCATGAACCAAGCCATGAAGTCCAAGGAATTGTCCGTAGACCTCCGAGACATGATTGTATCAAGGCACAGATCTGGGGAAGGGTACAGAAAAATTTCTGCAGCATTGAAGGTCCCAATGAGCTCAGTGGCCTCCTTCATCCGTAAATGGAAGAAGTTTGGAACCAACAGGGATCTTCCTAGAGCAGGCCGCCCGACCAAAATGAGCAATCGAGGGAGAAGGGCCTTAGCCAGGGAGGTAACCAAGCACCCGATGGTCACTCTGAAACAGCTCCAGCGTTTCTCTGTGGAGAGAGGAGAACCTTCCAGAAGAACAACATCTCTGCAGCACTCCAGCAATCAGGCCTGTATGGTAGAGTGGCCAGACGGAAGCCACTCCTCCGTAAAAGGCAAACGGCAGCTCGCCTGGAGTTTGCCAAAAGGCACCTGAGGGACTCTCAGACCATGAGAAACAAAACTCTCTGGTCTGATGACACAAATATTGAATTCTTTGGCCTGAATGCCAAGTGCCATGTCTGGAGGAAACCAGGCACTGCTCACCACCTTGCTAATACCATCCCTACAGTGAAGCATGGTGGTGGCAGCATCATGCTGTGGGGATGTTTTTTAGCATCAGGAACTGGGAGACTAGTCAGAATCGAAGGAAAGATGAATGCAGCAATATACAGAGACATCCTTGATGAAAACCTGTTTCAGAGTGCTCTGGACCTTAGAGTGGGGAAAAGATTGCAAAGATTTCAAAACTAACTTAATTACGTTGTCATTATGGGGTATTGTTTGTAGGATGTTGAGGAAAAAAATGAATAAATTTACTCCATTTTGGATTAAGGCTGTAATATAACAAAATGTGGCAAAAGTTAAGCGCTGTGAATATTTTCAGGATAAACTGAATTAGCCTTAATAATCCCAGGGGGATTGTATAACTGTTTCTGATACACCCCTTTATGGGTTTCGGTGCACTTAATGGAGTTGGGTCTCCAGAGTAGCTTGCGTTCGATCTGCAGGAGCTTACATTTAGGCTGCACTGAAGTGGCATAAAGGCTGCATTCAGGCTTTGATGCATATGTGCTTGACTAGCCCTGGGAAACTAGTATGGAATCACATGCAGTTATTTTTGACACAGTTCTTTAAACAATACTCTTTTAGAAAGCGAGCAGTTGCAGCATTGTATTATATTATTGCATGCATACGTGCATAATTATTTGAACTATATATTTGCATAAACTGCATACGTACATGCATACTTAAATGGATAGACTTCATACTTGCATGGACAGAATTTGTACATGCATACTTATACTTGCGTTAGACTGCTCATGTATATGCATATTTAAATGCATATGTACATGCATAGGTAAATGCATACTTGCATAGACTCCATACTTCCACTTGCATAGACTCCATACTTCCACTTGCATAGACTGCATACTTACATGCATACTTACATAAACTGCATACATGCATGCATATTTGCACAACCTGCATACTTACATGCATACTAGTGTGAACTGTGTACTTGTATAATCTGTATACTTGCATAAACTAAACTGCATAAATGCATATTTGTATACCTGCATAACTGCATACCTGGGTACTGGCATAGCTGCATGCTTGCTTGCCTGAGTGATTGCATAACTGTAGACCATCCCGGCTATGGACCTGCATCCCTGCGGGACTGCTTAGTTAAATGGCAATTTAGTTGCTACCTTATTGAGTTGAAGGGGGGGGGGGGGAGGCAGGTGCACCGCCCTCAGGTCCAGTGGACTCAGGGGGATTTTATGGCGGTGTTGGCATTTTACAGGAGACCAGTGGTGTCAAGTGTGTCTGGGCCACTGTGTTTGTCTGGCATTGCAGCTATTCCTGGTGGTGCAATGGACTGTGACCACATCACCCTGAGCGCGCCTGATCTCGCCTGAGGTAGGGTCAGCCCTACTTAGTACTTGGAGGGGAGACTGCCTGGGAATACCAGGTGCTGTGAGCTTTTCCCCTCCAGAGTCTGAGATGGCTATGTTTTGAGACTATCTCGGGCAGAGGATGTTAGGGCAGTCTCTGAGGTGATTTGAGACACTCGACAGGGTCGCAGGCCCAAAATCAAACGGAGATGTGAAGACTGTCTTAGATCTCAAGGCACTACTCTAGATGTCTTTCTGTTTTGAATGGGATTGGTCCGATCAGTGGTGGCCTCTCAGCAAGAGATAAAGATATGTGTCATTGAGGACTATGAACACCAGAAATCTGTGTACCAATTTTTTCAGGCTCATCAAGGGTTTCTGTGATTTGCAGTAAAGAATTGCCATTTTTTTGGTTTTGGGACATTGCCCTTTGGGCTAGCTACAGCCCCCCAGTGTTCCCAAAGCTCCTAGCCCTGGTGCTGGGCTGACTGAGGACACAGGGGGGTGTCAGTCTCAGAATACCTTAATGTGTCTTTGTTCAGGGAGTAGTCGTTTCAAGTTTTATAGCAAAATATAAGAAGCAAAAGGTATCCTTCAATACGTCTCTGCATGAGGAAATGGTATCTATGTTGAAGCGGTTTCCTACGTGCGGGTTCCACTCCAGGTCTTTTGTAGAGAGACATTCTGTCTGTTTGGATCATGAAGGTTCAAGCATTGGATTGTTGGAGGGCTTTGTCCCCAGGGTATTGCAGAGTCTGAATTGGTGGTTGGTTGTTCGGAATCTGGGAGAAGGGGTAATTTTCCTTCCAGTGATATGGAAGATAGTAACCATCAACGCCTGTCTCTCCAGTTGGGGGGCTGGTTTGGAGATGGCTGCAGTTCAGTGGACTTGGTCTCCACAGGAGAGATTACTGTCCATCAATATCCTGGAACTTCAGGCAGTACAC